GTTCCCATTACGTAACAAAATTGACTTACCAGCTTGGCCAGATACTGCAGAGGGTTGACTCTGTGAGTTCAGATAAAGGTCTGATGTATCCACACTACTAAGACTGTAGTTGATCAAGACTGTGGAGGTTCTGAAGAAGTACACCATTTTATTGAAGATTGTAGCAATGTAATTTGAGCGAATTGGAAGCTGCTGTCAGATGAAGGATAATGGCTAAATCTTTGTAAAAATGGACTCAGAATTCTAACTGAAAAACACCAGAGCTTGGGGAACTTTGAACTGAAATTAGTGTCATCTGCATTGAGTGAACTGCGCAATAAATCTGAGAGATATATCTTTGTTGTATTTGCTATTTGACGTATAATTGAATATACATATGGACCAGGATTTTTCAGCTCATGCAGTTTCAATTTATGTTGCTTTTGGTTTAATTGTTCAAGTAATAGTTGAAGAAAAGTTAAATCTTGTTCTTTATTCATTGGGTCATTTGGTAAAATTTGGTTCTTTTGGTATATTTATTTCCATCAAGATCATTACATTTACAGAAAGCAGGAAACTACAGGCCAGTTAGCTTAACAACTGTATTTGAGAAGATGTTAAAAGCTGTTACTAAAGATGTTATCACAGGGCATCCCAAAAAATTTGAAATAATTAGCTGGTGTCAATTTGGTTTTGTGGAATCGAAGTCAGGTGTAACCAAATTGTGCTTTAAGGAAGTAGGTGCTGTGGATAAAGGGGTATGCGCTGTACTTGGATTTTCAGAAGGCATTTGTTAGTTGCCACATCAAAGATTATTGCAGAAAATAAAAGCTCATGAATGTAGGAGATAACATATTGGCACAGATAGTAGATTGGCTGGCTAACAGGAAACAGAGTTGGCATAATTGGGTCATTGTCTGGTTAGCAAGATATATTGAATAGTGTGCCACAGGGATGACTACAGGCTGTTTACCTTTTAACAATTTAGATAAATGACTTGGATGAATGGACCGAAGATTATGATTGCTAAATCTGTAGATGGCTCAATGCTTGGTAAGTTGTGAATAGGATATATGGAGGCTACAAAGGAATATCAATAGGTTAGGGGAGCTGTTAAAGTCACAAAGATCTAGCAAATGGAGTGTGATGAGGGAATGTGACCTTTTCAGCATAAGGAATTGAAAAGCATATCATCCAGGTTTCAGAGCTCGGAGATGTGGGGAGCTCTGAGATTCAGAGGGATCTGCTTACACTTATGCATGAATTCAATACATTAAAATGCAGATACAGCAAGTAATTGGGAAAACTAATCAAATGTTATCATTTGTCAGGAGAAATGACAACAAAAGTAGGGAGTTTGTGCTTCAGCTGTGCAAGGTGTTGGTGAGACATGGAGTACTGTGTACAAAGAAACAAATGAATTGAGTGCAGGAGTAGGCCATTCACTCATTCGAGCCCATATGAAATGGTACTTATGAGTTTGTTACATTATGGAAATTATTGATGGGTTAAATCTGTACATTCCATGGTATAAATGATGAGTAGGGTAATTTCTAGAGCATGATCATTTATCTTTCCGTTCAGTTAAGGAAGGGCTACAAATACCACATCAGATGATTAAATATTTGAAGCTTTTAATTCATAACAGATTTCTGAAAACTGTTTTAATGTCTCTTTTGATTGGTTAATACATTATTATAGCTTAGGGTTTATTGGCAAATTTTATCTGGTCAAATTAAAATATTGCCAGCGTTCTTAAAAAAGACAAAGTTACCTGTAAAACATCTGCAATTAGGAATATTATTGCAATGGTATGTGAGGTTCCATCTTGTGCCATTGCATCTTTCACTGGCCATCACTCTTGTGCCATCCCCAACCTCGTTTCATCCCACTCATATCAGCCCCCTCCCATGTCCCCATTCCACACTTTCTTCCTGTGCAATTCCATTCACCACCTTCAATTATGTTCTATGCTCCTCCCTTGCCAAACCCTTCCCTTTTACCTTGGCCATCTGCCAAGAAGCAAAATGTGTCTTTGGAAGTTCGCAGCACTGTATTCAAAAGTTATATTACGTTGTTCATCGACTTATTCAAGGATTCATGTGCTCATTATTTACCTTTTTGAAAAATGGATTTTACAGAGGTACATAATCACTAACATAGGGCATAAGGTTAAGGTGAGGAGCCCATTTGACAACGGAGATCCAGTTGACATGATTTATTTGGATTTCCAGAAGGCCTCTGACAAGGTGCTGCAGAAGAGACTGCTAAATAAGATGAGACCATGGTGTTAGGGGAACGTACTCGCATGGACAGAGGATTGGCAGAAGGCAGAGAGTGGGAATAAAGGGCTCTTTTTCAGGTTGGCAGTCGGTGATTGGTGGATTTCTGTAGGTGTCATTTTTGGAACAACAACTATTCATGTTATACATTAACAGTCTGGAAAAAGGAATTGAGGGCACTGCTGCTATGTTTGCAGATGACACAAAGATAGATGGAGGGACAGGTAATGTTGAAGAAGCAGAGAGGCTGCAGAAGGACTTCGGCTGGCCAGGAGAATGGGTAAAGAAATGGCAGATGGAATACAATGTGGGAAAGTGTATGTTATGCACTTTGGTAAGAAGTGTAGTCATAGACCATTTTTTAAATGGGAAGAGGCTTCAGAAATCTGAAGCAGAAAGGGACTTGGGAGTCTTCGTTCAGGATTCTCTTAAGGTTGACATGCAGGTTCAGCTGACAGTTAGGAAGGCAAATGCAATGTTAGGAACAAAAACAAAGTTGCTGAAAAGCTCAGCAGGTCTGGCAGCATTTGTGAAGGAGTTAACGTTTCGGGTCCGGTGACCTTTCCTCAGAACAGTTCTGAGGAAGGGTCACCGGAACCAAAAGGTTAACTCTGTTTTCTCCTTCACAGATGCTACCAGACCTGCTGAGCTTTTCCAGCTACTTTGTTTTTGTTCCTGATTTACAGCATCCGCCGTTCTTTTGGTTTTTAAATGCAATGTTAGAATATTTTTCAAGAGGGCTAGAGTACAACAGCAGAAATGTATTGCTCAGTCTGTATAAGGCTTTGATCAAATCGCATTTGGAATATTGTGAGCAGTTTTGAGTCCCAGATCTAAGGAAGAATGTGCTGGAATTAGAAAGGGTCCAGAGGAAGTTTACAAGAATGGTCCTGGGGATGAAGGGCTTGTCGTATGAGGGGAGGTTGAGGATTCTGGGTCTGTACTCGATGGAGTTTAGAAGGTTGAAGCGGGACCTGATTGAAATCTACAGAAAACTGAGAGGCCTGGATAGAATGGATGCAGAGGAGATGTTTCCACTAATAGGACAGACTAGGACCCGAGAGCACAACGTCAGGGTGGAGGGATGATCTTCAGCCAGAATTTCTTCAGCCAGAGTGTGGTGAATCTGTGGAACTTATTGCTACAAAGGGCTGTGGATTGAGTTATTGAGTGGATTTAAGACAGTGCTAGCTTAGTCAGAGATGTCAACATCCCAAGAATGAATAAAAAGATAACAAGGTGTAGACCTGGATGAAAGGAGAAGGGTCTAGGCCCGAAACGTCAGCTTTCCTGATCCTTTGATGCTGCTTGGCCTGCTGTGTTCATCCAGCTCTACACCTTGTTATCTCAGATTCTCCAGCATCTGCAGTTCCTACTATCTCTGCCTAAATTGTCTTCTTTGTTTTGCGGTCTTAGTGTCATATGGTCTGGCCTATAATGATCTCTCAATCAACATAATTAATATAGATCATCTAGTATTTATAAAATTAATGTTTGTGGGAGTTTGCTGTGTACAATTTGGCTGTCATGTTTCATACACTACAGCAATGACTACACTTTAAATTACTTCATTGACTGTGAAGTTCTTTGATATGTCTAGCAGTCAAGAAAGGCATTCTAAAAATACAAATCTTTATTCCTTTATAAAACTGAGATGATTTGTGGATAGAAAGAAAAATTGATGTTCTTACTAAGTAACAACAGCAAAATATTGCAGATATTGGAAACCTGAAATAAAAACAGCAAGTCTCAGAGAAACTAAACAGGTCTGGCAGCATCTGTGGAGATAGAAAAACAGAGTTAACTTTTCCAATCAAAGAAGAGTCCTTTGGACTCAAAATGTTAACTCTATCTCTGAGTATTTTAGTAAGGAAAGCCCTTTTGGTAAAGACTCTCATATTAACTTGTTATAAACAATTGACAATTATGATAGTATGCTGCGCCTCTGGATTCACATGTAGACCAGATAAGGCAAGGGTAACAGATTTCCTTTCCTGAAGGACATTTAGCCTGATGGATTTTGCTAACAAACATGGTTATCATTGGATTCTTAATTCCAGATATTTTTCAAACTGAATTTAAATTCCACCATCTATCATGGTGGGATTCAAACCCAAGTCCCCAGAACATTAGCTGAGTTCTGTGGATTAATAGTCTAGCAATAAACCACTGGGTCATCATCCCATAATGATATACTTTAATGAAGTGACCTCCGCCTCTTCTAAACTCTAGAGGATATCGGCCCAGCCTGTCTAGCCTTTCCTCATAAGGCATTCTGCTCATTTGAGGGCCAACTCAATCCTGAATGTTGTCCAAGTCTTGTTACATAAAGGTGTTGTCACATAAAGACTTCCACATTTATCAAGTTTTCACGATGTGGCAAACAATACTGCCGAAGCTCCTATTCTTCAACTGGCAGCGCCAACCATTTGGCACAGTTGAAACGTGCCTGTGTATTTTGCTGCATGTTGTGCTATGCTGTTACTGACTAGGTCCAGGTAACTCCTGTCCTTGCATGCCTCTGTTGACTAATATCAGGCCACCGCAAGGCAAGATCAAGCAGCCTAGTCAGCATCTGGTTAGGGTGGGAGGCAGAGAAACTGCCAGTGCGGCCACAACCGAACAAACAGCGGAGGGTTTCCCAGTATTTTGTGGTGGTCAGTTCTGTGGATTCTTATTCTGGTGTACTCCAGTGAGGACCAATAGCCAGTTCTATTGCTGACCCTGGGCTAACTTGGTGCCTGTGGATGGAGAGCTGTGGAGAAGATCCTCACGGTGGAAGTGCTGATTCAGATGGCTCAGGTGCAGGTCCCTCTGGTGTTGTCGACAGGGTTTCCCTGGAGACGCTGGCCTGTGCGGTCTCTCCTAGCTTTACTTTGCCGGCGCCAGAGGCTGCTTTCTCTGTGATCCCAGCACCTTTGTGATCTCGGCTCCGGCCTCTGTGATCTCGGTTGCCGAGCAGCGACAGGACGCGGGCTCCTGGGCTTTGGGACTTCTCCACCCACCGCCTGGGCTCTGGGTCTCGGAACCACAGTCATGGCCCCCTCGGTTAGCCTGGCCCGGCCCGGGGTATCGATGGCTCAGACAGTGATTCCGTTCGTGAAGGGCCCCGAGGACCGGCATTTCTTCACCAGTTTCCAGGAGCAGGATAACGCGGCGTTCGCCCGCTGGAACCCGGACGCGGCGGCTCCCGATGACCTCTACCCGCTCGCCCCGCACCGACGTGAGGTGCAGCTGCTGGATTCCAGCTCCGGCTACAAGAGCCCCGGGGCCACCGCCGACAGCGGCACCAGGAGGATCCCCAACCTGGCATTTTACAGGCAGCCGGCTGGGGAATGCCGAGCTCACACCGCCATCCCGATCGCCGTGCAGGAAACAGGAGAGAGCCGCCTCTGGAACTCCAAATCCGTCTCGTCGGCTGCCATCCGAGCCAGGGTGGGAGGTACAAACTCGGACTGGATCGTGGGGATGGGAGAAGGGCTGGGCATTGGGCATCGGGTAGGATTGGGCGTTGGGGGTGAAAGGGGATTGAACATTGGGGATAAGGAAACTTTGAGCATTGGGAATGAAGAGGGTTTGAGCTTTGGACATGAGGCGGGATTGGGCGTTGAGAATGCAGAGGTTGTGGGCATTAGCGATGAGGAGGAATTGGGCATTGGGGATGAAGACGGATTGGGCATTGGGAATGAAGTAGGATTGAGGATGAGGAGAGATTAGGCATTGGGGATGAGGAGGGATTGGGCACTGAGGATGAGGAGGGATT